GTGAGAGCCCAACCAAAAAAAAAAAAAAAAACCCACAGATACCACTAACGTAAGGATGAAGGATGCCCTCCCAGCAGCCTCAGTGCAAACAGTGAGAACCTTCAGGGAAGACTAGCCAGCAAAGTGTGTGGCACTAGGTTCCACACTCTGTGTGACAGGCACAACCGCAGTGATGCTGACAACCAAAGACAAAGAGCCCTCAAACCCCAACATCACCTTAAATAGGAAGAAATCAATCAACCCTGATAAAATCAGCCAGCATGTGGTATGCCCACCCCCAGCCCCAGAAACCCACATTCTTGCAGCAACTAGGATTTTGGAAAAGAGTAAAAACCACCAATGTCGCACCTGCCAACTTGGATGCAAAAGTCCCCACGGATGGTCCCAGGCTTGGAGTCCGCAGGGCTGGTCTCCCAAGCATGACCCGGCCTGTCTTCACCACATTCAAAGCCCTCCCAGACCTCCAAGGACAGAAGAAGACATGGTCAAGGAAGAAAACCAATCGCAGTGGAAAACCTGGCAACTATTAATTCAAAAACAGAAAAATGAAAAGATCTCTTAAGATGACATTCATGCACAGAACAAATATCTATGGCACATCTACTTTTTCTAGCATGGGGGATCCCAGTCTCCCTGCCCTCAAGTCTGCCTTCCCTACATACAGTCTATTCACCACATGGCAGGCAGAGCGGCCTTTTAAAAATGCCAAATGCGCCAGGCACAGTGGCTTACACCTGTAATCCCAGCATTTGGGGAGGTGGAGAAGAGGATTGCCTGAGCTCAGGTGTTTGAGACCAGCCTGGACAATTTGGTGAGACTTCATCTCTACAATAAATCAAAAAATAGCTGGATGTGGTAGTGCATGCCTGTGGTTCCAGCTACTTGGAAGGCTGAGGCAGAAGGATCGCCTGAGCCCAGGTCAAGGCTGCAGTGGCTGTAGTGTGCCATGGTACTCCGGCCTGGGTGACAGAGTGAGGCTCTGACTCAAAAATAAATAAATAATAAAGAAAATGCCAAGCATAATACCTTCCCCACCTCCCAGCACTCAGGAGCTGCACGGCCAGCACAGCCCACCTGAGGTGGCCACCACCTGTACCTCTGAACTCCTCATCTCTGCTTTTCTGTCACTCACCCAGGCTTTAGGCATTTTACCTTTCTTTCCCTACTTCAAAAACCAAGCTTGTCCCCACCCCGGGTCCTTTGCATATGCTGGTTTCTTGGCTGGGAATGCTTTTGGCACATGGCTGGCTCCTTTTTGCGACTCAGATCTCAGCTTGAAAATCAACATGCCTTGACCATCCAATACAAAGGGGTCACCTGCCATAACATCCTATTTCACTTCTGTGCCTATCACTAACCATTAGCTAATAATTTTTTTTTTTTTTTTAGTTTCTTTATTGTCTGCTCACCCCTAACCCCTTCAAGAAAAAAAGCTATGAAAACAGAGACCCAGCCGGGCTTGGTGGCTCAGCCTGTAATCCCAGCACTTTGGGATGCCAATGTGAGAGGATTGCCTGAGCCCTCAGGTTCGAGACTAGCCCAAACAACTTGGCAAGCCTCCTATAATAAATAAAAAATTAGCCGGCCGGGCTCAGTGGCTCAGCCTGTAATCCCACGCTTTGGGAGGCCGAGGTGAGTGGACTTCCTGAGCCCGTGGGTAACTTGGTGAGACCTCATTTCTACAATAAATCAAAATCAGCCGGGCATGGTAGTGCGCGCCTGTAGTTCCAGCTGCTTGGAAGGCTGAGGCGGAAGGATCGCTGGAGCCCAGCAGGTCGAGACTGCGGTGGCCAGGAGCGGCCACTGCACTCCAGCCTGGGCGACAGAGTGAGACTCCAACTCAAAAAAAAAAACAAAACAATTAGCCAGGTGTGGTAGCACGCACCTGTAGTTCCGGCTACTTGGAAGGCTGAGGCAGAAGGATCGCCAGAGCCCAGCAGGTCAATGTTAGGGTGGCTGTGAGTATGCCACAGCACTATAGCCTGGGCGACAGAGTGAGAGTTCAACTCAGGAAAAAAAAAGAAAAGAAAAGAAAACAGACACTGCTTTTGACTCATTCATGACTGTCTCACTGGTATATAGAAGAGAGAGCCTGCACAGATGACAAGCAATACATACTTGCAGCAGTAGTACTATGATCAACAACAGCCACTCCCTCTGCCTTCCAGGAGCTTCCAATCAGGCAGGCATCTCCCCTTCTCTCCTGGCTGTGGGTCTCAGTGAACAGATGAAGCCTGTCTTTGCTAGGTCAGAGAGCCAACTCATATCCTACCTGTCTGATCCTCTCAGCCCCAGGTTCCTCTGCATCAGTGAGGACTTGACATCAGAGACAAGAATCACAGCACTCATTCCTCCCCACTCCCAGCTAGTATGCACATCAGTAATCCACAAAGGCACACTCACCATGGCAACTACTGGCCCTGAGCGCATGTATTTCACCAGGCCAGCAAAGAAGGGACGGTCTTTCAGATCAATGTACTGTTCCTTGAGAAGGTCTCAGAAGCCTATTCCAGAGCACAGAGAATGAGACTGACCCCCAAATTATCTAAGAACTGGTCAACTACTTAATTCCCCCTCACCCATTCTTATTTATTCATTTTGAGTTGAAGTCTCACTCTGCCACCCAGGCTGGAGTGCAGTGGCACATTCACGGCCACTGCAGCCCCCACCTGCTGGGCTCAGGCGATCCTTCTGCCTCAGCCTTCCAAGAAGCTGGAACTACAAGCACGTGCCACTATGCCCAGCTAACTTTTTGATTTACTGTAGAGGCAGGATCTCGCCAAGTTGCCCAGGCTGGTCTCAAACCCCTGGGCTCAGGCAATCCTTTCACCTCTACCTCCCAGAATACTGGGATTACAGGCGTGAGCCACCACACTCAGCACCATCCTGTTATTTAAAACATGTACTCTCAGCCGTGCATGGTGGCTCACGCCTGTAATCCCAGCACTTTGGGAGGCAGAGGCAAGAGGATTACCCAAACTCAGGGGTTTGAGACCAGCCTGAGCAACATGATGAGATCTTGTCTCTACAATAAATCAAAAAACCAGCTGGGCATGGTGGCACACACCTGTGATGGTTCCAATTATTTAGAAGGCTGAGGTGGAAGGATTACCTGAGTCCAGCAGGCTGAGGCTATGGTGGCCATGAATATGCCACCGCTCTCCAGCCTGGGCAACAGAAACTCCGACTCAAAATAAACAAATAAAATAAATAAAACATGCACTCTCAGCTCCACAGGGGAGCAGTGACAGGGACTAAAACTGCTTCTACAGTTTTGTACCAACTGCCCCCCCCCGGCCTTATTTGATCAGGATAAAGTCACAAAACATAACCAAGTCCAGCCATCTCATTTTGGACAGGAAAACTAATTCCCATTCCCAGAGCAAATCCCAACTAAAATTTTAGCAGGATGAGAGGAAGGCGGTCTCAGCATGTGATGAGCAGTCAACTATACTGGGCTATCCCTGGGGAGACTTCACGCCGAGGCAAAAGATAAAGGCCCGGCAAGGTGACCATGCAATGCCCACAACTATCTGCAAATCACCAAAGTACCTAACATGTAGAAAGAAATAATTCTGCTAAAAAATAAATCAGAATGTCTCACATTTCAAGGCTGGTATGTGGGATCAAATCAAACGAGTGAGAGAACAAGCCATCTGCTCAGCAGTTTCAGCTCAACGTGGCTGTGTTCATCCTTGGCCCTTGTGGGTCATCTTGTTAAGGGTCTGACGGGCACCATTAGTTCCCAGGTCTGTGGTACTGCACTGTAAGGGCACGCTTGTAGTGATACATGCAAAAGTGGAGATAAGCCAAAAGCACATCCAGAACATTCTATCATCCAGCCACTGGTTGACCATCGCTTGCCAAAGCAAAACTATAGGGCCACGTCATCATTCAAAGGTCGGGATCCACCCCTTACCCTGTCCTTTCCTATCCAAGTGCAAGACTTTCTCAGTGGTGAGGTCCTAACACACACTGACCTGACCAGAATACTCATCCTTTTGTTGTTTGTTTTTTAGTAGGGGTCTTATCCTGTCACCCAGGCTGGAATGCAGTGGCACAATCATAGCTCAAGGCAGCCTCCAACTCCTGGGCTCAAGCGATCCTTCCACTGAGTAGCTGGGGACCACAGGCACACACCATCACACCTGGCTAAGTTTTTTTTTTTTGTTTTTTTTTTTAATTTTAGAAACGAGGCCTCACTATGTTGCCAGGCTGGTTTGAACTCCAGGCCTCAAGTGATCTTCTCGCTTTAGCCTCCTGAGTCACTGGTACAATAAATATGAGCCACTGTACCTGGCTCTGAGAACAGTCTTTTTTTTTTTTTTAATTTTTTTTGAGTCGCACTCTGTCACCCAGGCTAGAGTACAGTGGCACATTCACGGCCACCCCAGCGTCGACCGGCTGGGCTCCAGTGATCCTTCTGCCTCAGCCTTCCAAGTAGCGGGAACTACAGGTGTGTGCCACCATGCCCAGCTAATTTTTTTTTTTTTTAATTGTAGAGAGGAGGTCTCATCAAGTTGCCCGGGTTGGTCTCGAACCCACAGGCTCAGGCAATCCACTCACCTCAGTCTCCCAAAGTGCTGGGATTACAGACTGAGCCACCGAGCCCGGCCAGAATGCTCTTTTAATTCTGTTAATGGTTCCAATTATCTTTAGGTTGCAAAACAGATCACAGACTTTTCTGGGGAGGAACCTCAGGAAGAACCCCTTGCTTCCCACATCCACGCCAGACTTAAACTGCGCTTGAGAGTCATGGCAGCGATCCCTCCTTTCGTTCCTTGCCAAACCCAGACATCCTGGATAGGAGACTCAGAGTTAAAAAGACAATGTCTGTAATACCAGCACTTTGAGAAGCCAAGGCAGGAGGATCACTTGAGGCCAAGAGTTTGAGACCAGCCTAGCAAGACCTCGTTTCTTTTTTCTTTTTTTTTTTTGAGTTGGAGTCTCACTCTGTCGCCCAGACTGGAGTGAAGTGGCTGCTCCCAGCCACCGCAGCCTTGACCTGCTGGGCTCCGGCGATCCTTCCGCCTCAGCCTTCCAAGTAGCCGGAATTACAGGCATGCGCTACCACACCCTGCTGATTTTTTGATTTATTGTAGAGATGAGGTCTCGCCAAGTTGCCCAGGCGGGTCTCGAACCCGCGGGCTCAGGCAATCCACTCACCTCAGCCTCCCAAAGGCGTGGGATTACAGACTGAGCCACCAAGCCCGGCTAAGACCTCGTTTCTACAAAAAAATTGAAAAAAAAAAAATGAGCCAGGCATGGTGGCATAAGCCTGTAGTCCTGGCAACTCGGGAGGTTCAGGTAGGAAGCTCACACAAGCCCGGAAGTTTGAGGCTGCAGTAAGGTATGATTATGCCACTGCACTCCAGCCTGGATGACAGAGCAAGTCCTTCTCTAAAAGAAAAAATATATATATATTTTTTTTTAGTTGGAGTCTCACTCTGTCGCCCAGACTGGAGTGTAGTGGCACACTCGCGGCCAACACAACCTCGACCTGCCGGGCTCCGGTGATCCTTCCGCCTGTCTTCCAAGTATCCAGATCTATAGGCGCGCGCTACCACGCCAACTAATTTTTGATTTATTGTAGAGACGAGGTCTCACAAAGTTGCCCAAGTGGGTCTCAAACCCGAGGGCTCAGGCATTCCACTCGCCTCGTGGTGCGTTGGCCTCCCAAAGTGCTGGGATTACAGGCTGAGCCACTGAGCCCAGTCAAGAAAAAATTTAAAAACAGAATTCAGGCCAGGTGTAGTGGCTCAAGACTAGAATCCCAGCACTTTGGGAGGCCAACGCAAGAGAATTTCCTGAGCCCAGGGGGTCAAGATCAGCCTAGACAACTTGGCCTTGTCTCTACAAAAAAATTAAAAATTAGCTGGGCGTGGTGGCACGTGCCTGTAGTTCCAGCCACATGAGAGACCGAGGTGAGAAGATTGTCTGAGACCACAGGTTTGAGACCAGCCTGGACAGCTTGGCGAGACCCTGTCTCTACAATAAATCAAAAAATTAGCCAGGCATGGTGGCACATTCCTGTGGATCCAGCTACTTGGAAGGCTAAGGCAAAAGGATCACCTGAGCCCAGCAGGTCAAGGCTGCGGTGGCCGGGAGCGTGCCACTGCACTCCAGCCTGGGCGACAGAGTGAGACTCCTGCTCAAAAAAACAAAAAACAAAAAACAAAAGCAAAAAAACCAACCCAGGCAACTTGGTAAGACCTCATCTCTACAATAAATCAAAAAATTAGCCGAGTGTGGTGGTACACGCCTGTAGTTCCAGCTACTAGGAAGGCTGAGGCAGAAAGATCGCATGAGTCCAACAGGTCGAGTCTGCAGTGGTCACGAGCTTGCCCCTGCATTCCAGCCAGGGCGACAGAGTGAGACTCCAACTCAAAGATAAGTCAATAAAAATAAAAATATAGCGACCAGGCGCAGTAACACATGCCTATAATCCCAGCACTTTGGGAGGTTGAGGTGAGAGGATTGCATGAGCCCATGGGTTCAAGACCAGCCTGGACAACTTGGTGAGACCTCACCTCTACAATAAATCAAAAATTAGCCAGGTATGGTGGCGCATGCCTGTACTTGGAAGGCTGAGGAGGAAGGATCGCCTGAGTTCAGCAGGTTGAGGCTGCAGTGGCCGTAAGCATGCCACTGCACTCCAGCCTGGGTGACAGGTTGTTACTCCAACTCAAAAAAAAAAGCCAGGTGCAGTGGCTCAAGCCTGCAATCCCAGCAGTTTGGAGGCTGAGGTGAGAGGATTGTCTGAGCCCACAGATTCGAGACCAGCCTAGGCAACTTGGTGAGACTTTATCTCTACAATAAATCAAAAAATTAGCCAAGCATGGTAGCATACACCTGTAGTTCCAGCTAAGTGGAAGGCTGAGGTGGAAGGACTGCTTGAGCCGGGCTTCAGTGCCCTCCAGCCTGGGAGACAGAGTGAGATTCCAACTAAAAAAAAAAAAAAAAGAAAGCCAGGGTCGGTGACTCAATCTGTAATCCCGCGTCTTTGGGAGGCTGAGATGAGTGGATTGCCCAGGCAAGAGCTCATCTCTACAATAAATTTTAAAAAACTAGCCAGGCGTGGTAGCGTGCGTCTGTAGTTCCAGCTACTTGAAAGGCTGAGGCGGAAGGATCGCCTGAGCCCAGCAGGTCGAGGCTGCGGTGGCCGGGAGCGGCCACTGCACTCCAGTCTGGGCGACAGTGAGACTCCAACTCAAAAAAAAAGGAAAAGAAATTAAATGCACGAGGCGGGGTCCAAAATTAATTCCCTTAATGAGATAAAATACCATACCCTAATTTATTTGATTTGAAAATTTGAAATCTTATCTCTCAAATTAAGAAGATTCCTGGTGATTAATACTTTGCATTTGTGGAAAGACCGCTGTGTCAGTGCCTTGCAGAAATGTCTGCTCTGCTGTTTCAGGAGAGACTCCCCAAAGGCAAAATCATTTTCCCCCACAAGTTCCTATGGTGCCTAATATATGCTAGATGCTAATTGGGTAGTATGTGATGCTGGAAAGGT